GTGCAGGTGAGCATGAAAGGATGAACAATCTTCGGGGATTTTAGATTGGGAACACAACAAAACACTAACACTCAGGGATTTGGGAATAGTCAGACGCCTGCTAATATCGATGATTCATTTTTAGATCGAATCAATGAATTGTTAAACGAATTCAATCAATGGCACCAGCGTGACCAAGAAGAACAATAACGTCGTCTATCATTTTATTTTTAGATCATATGTTACTAATTTTATGCTTTATTGTAGTCCATATATGTTGATATAGTTATTCGATGATAATTCTATGTTTATTCTTTTGTGTGATGTAAATTAAATGCTGAACGGCAGTTCATATTCGCATATTCATTCAAAAACATGAAAATTCTTAATGGAGTACCATCATTTCTTATTGAATTCTTAAAAAACAATATTTATAATGGATTTTAATAATTTTATCTGATTTTTTTTAAGCTTTATTTTGACCGATTCACCCGATTCTCGATCCAGATAGCCGATTCGCCCATCCGGATCGGCTTTTTGGGAACCCGATCCAAGTCACCGATCCGTTTTTTAAACCATTGCAATAATACCTTTAGCGATGCCATTGCAATTCGGAGCGTACATTTCGTAACCCCTTGGGTAAAATCCAATCTAATAGTATTGGTAGAACTTTAAATTTTGGAGATGTAACACATTCAGTTCATAGTCTAGTCTCAATATAAAAAGGAAATTTTATTAAAATGCCCAAAACATATGAACTATTTAATAATGGGAGCAGTTTGTATAGAGCCGACGCTCTAAACAATCAAAGGAAAGCCCACCTTCAAAATATGTCAATAAATGTGATTTCAATATTGGAAATATTTATGATTGCCTTAAAATATATTTTTGTTTTTAATTATAAAATTTAAAACTTCAAAAATAGTGTAGATCAAGCAGATTTATAAAAACATGAAAATCTTGAAAATTGACACTCCAAAAATACCTTAAACGATGCATATACACCAAAACTCGAAATCCTTTTTTTTTTCATGCTCATGCATCTTGATAACGGGATGATCAATTTGAGGATATTTGGGCATCAAAACAACCTCTTCTAATGAAATTTTTAATGTAAGATCTAATTTGATTGTTTAGAGCCTAGGCTCTATATAAATTTTTCCTTATTTGGAACTATTCCATCAGACGACTAGGTGTTATTTTTATTGGTATTTTGAATTACATCAAAACATATAGATAAAGTGGTATATTTTTAATATTTCATGATAATTTAATGAATTTTCTTGAGAAAATTACCAAATCACACTCCCTATGCACTTGAAAAAATAATTTATACAAGATTGAACGAAGACCATCTAATATTCTTTGGCGAGATTCAAGTACTGTAATTCAATTTTATTTTATTTTACTTAGATGATCTTCTATGATTCTTAGGTGCTTCCTAAATTTTCAGATCGAAAAAATCCTCCAAACTAGTCAGCCGCCTGACGGAGTAGGTGTACAGTATACTACCACGGAAGTATTAATACACACGCCGATATCTTTATTTTACAAATGTTCACCCATTTTACATGAATCTAAAAATAAAAGAAACCCCACTTTGGAAATTCAACTAGTTCATAAAGTATTCAGTGTATAACTTAAAACTTTGAATCGATTGCCTTGTCATGAGACCAAAACTTCAAATTCCGAACTCACCTCACCACTTAAAAAGAAAAAAAAGAAGAAAAAAGTCTAGAAATTAAATTTTTGAACCGGTTATTTGGCTGGAAAACCAATTCAAAACTTCAGAACCTTGTACGTTATAAGTTAGCCAGTTTGGATCTTGAAATTCAGAGTAGACAATTCAAGAAAAAATAAACATGTGAATTTACGACTCGAAGCCGGATAACAAGTATTTTGAGAATATAAAGGCTAGAAAAGGAACATGAGAGTAAAATATGTAAAATGGAGGGCATTTTTTTAATATAGGAAAATACAAATGACAATAAAAGTTAATCCATTCAATTTTTTCTCTAGCATGAGCAAAATGGGAAATCCAGCCAAAATTACTATTACAATTTCGATATTTGAAAAATGTTCGATGTATTTTTCTATTTTATGCTTCTCATTTTTTTGTGCTTTTTATCCCCAAATTACTCCGATTCAAATGGACTGAATTGGGTCTTCTTCTTTCTTTCTTTTTAGTGAAATACCCATTTGGATGATTCGACATCCAATGTTCTAAATTATCTTTGCTCATAAAAAGGTGATCATGTTCAAATATTGAATGTCTGATCCCACTCACTTACTTATGTTTAATTTTTTTTACTGTAAGTTGAGGTCGCACAGAGCCCTTATTTAACGACAGACAAGCTGGTGAATTTGGACCCCGGATGTCCAAACCCACTCACTTGTCATTTTTCTAAGTGAAAGACCGGTTTAGACATTAGATACTTGAGTACTAGTTCTAACATCCTAGTCCAAATTAGTAGAATGTACAAACCATAGACAATTTAGTACTAAAAAAAAATTAAAAGTAAGGCATGAGTGTAAAATAAAAACTATACATAATAGTTTTAGGTATAGAAATATAAGGGGTTTTTTTTTATAATTTTTTCAAAAGAAAATCATGGAGAGACTCTTCCTACTTTCTTCGCATGGCCAAAACAATGTTATATTTGTTTTCCCAGAGCTTTCTCCTTTGAACCAAAACGTTAAATGAAGATCTTTCCTTTTAATGGAATCGAACTATACAGGAAATGCCATTAAGATGATCATACCACTTCAAAAAATTATTAATCAGTCAAATTAATTATTTTATCAATAAAGTGGTTAATTTAATAAGATTAGGAAAATTTACCAAAATACCAATGAAACAACTCTACCAACTAATGATCATACGTATTTTTAGGACGTGGTTAGCATGCAGCCAAGCCCGTACACGTAGAAATGCGGGCCCCTTAACAAATTTATTTTTGAAATAAAATTCGATCCTAATTTTTAGAGAATATATAATCTTTAACATGGAGATCATGAATATGAAAAAATAAATAAATTTTGAAAATTGGAATAATAAGTCTATTAAGAAACATTTGGATTGTTAGTTTCAATTGTTTTTAAATGGACCATGTATTTTCATCCATCTTTAAGATGGATGCTTTATACCTTTGGATCGCATATTATACAAACTGGAGTCCAACCCGCATGAAACAATTGTTCGTATTTTTATGGGTCTTTAAAATATAAGTAAAATGTTAAATAGTACATTTCTCATGAATACTGATAAGATTATTTTGCTAAGTACCTCATCAAGTACTTCATTAAAAAGAACTCAGGATACTCCTATTCAGGTTTAGAAACCTCAAAAAGCAAGGAGATTTTGATAATTTGACACATGATAAAAGTGGAGTCAGATTACAATCTACCACTTCTTCTAGGTTCCAAACTCAAAATTAGATTCTAGTCGGATATTGTTTACCCTTGAAATCCACTCCCTGCCAGTCTTGAGCATGGGTCAGAGGAAGAGGTGATTTTAAAGATAAATAAATAAAGGAAAATTATACAATAAGATATTTTATCTTTGTTACAAGGTGGTCACAATTAATCTTGATTATTGGATGTGAAATTAGCCGGTTGCATTTATTCTATTGACCAAGCTCAAAGTTCAAAAGAATTTTTCTCGAACTTTATGATACTTCCAAACTATCAAATTTCACATTAGACAGTTATAAATAATTGTGACCACCTTATACTAAAAACAATGATCTCATTGTTTCCAGTCACAAATAAAAGTTTCAAAAACTAAACTCAATACATAATGACGTTCCACCATAGTATGTAACACAACTCATCACCTAAATAGTGGTTAACATATCACTTAAGAACACATCACCTAAGTACTGATTAACAAATCAAGTTGGTTTTTTAAAATTAATTAACCAATAAATGAATTAATAAAATAAAAGTAAAGGAAAGATGTTCCCATAGGAGAAGATGGATGAGAATTGGATAGAAAAAGAAATACATATAGGGTGCGGTTTGTATAGAGCAGAAGATCTAGACAATCAAAGCAAGGCTCATTTTCAAATAGTGTCGAGAAATGTAGTTTCAATACTAGAAATCTTTGTAATAGATTTAAAATAAATTTTCCTTTTTAATTATAAACTTTAAATCTTCAAAAATAGCGTACATCGAGCAGATCTATGAAAACTTCGAAATCTTGAAAATTGAAGGTCAAAAAATGCGTTACAAGATGCACTATTTCCAAAACTTGAAATGCAGTTTTTCTCATGTTCATACATCTTGAAGTCAAGATGATCAATTTGAGGATATTTGGGCATCAAAACAACTTCTTTTAATGAAATTTTTGAGGTGAGCTCTAATTTGATTGTTTAGAGCCTCGACTATATATAAACTTTTTCCATACATGTAATATCTCAAATGTGAGGCACATCCCCAAATTGAGATTATATCTATATGAGTTTAATGAAAGTAAGGTCGTAGTGTTAGAGAATGGAATAGACGTATCTAGGCATGTACATAGTGGATAAAAAGTTGTAGGTAGATCTAGGATCTCGAGGCAATGGGAAGCTTGATCCAAGGTTCCTATGATTATAATTACTCGGATATGAAGTTTAGAAGTTAGACCTGGTCCAAGGGATTTATTTTTCATGCCTCGAAAGCGGAGGTGGATTTGGCCATCGAGCTCAATTGTTTCTTTTTACAGTTCGAGAGTGATTTTTCATTATTAGGTAATGTAATACATAATGGATTCAAAGCTCCTTGAGCACTCAATATTGTTTATGCCAATTACTGCTATAATCTTTCGAATCGTGTTTGGTTTCTAGACCATATCTTTCGTGAGGCAAATATAGTGGCTCGCACATTCGCTAAAAAAGCCATAATTTTTTCAAAGAAAATTGTTTCATGCAGGCTGGACCACATAACTATATCCGCAGTTCAAAAAGTGTAAAGCATCCATCTTAAAGATAGATGCAAGTAGGTGTTTCGTCTAAAGACAATGGAAACTAACGGTTCAAATGTTTTCTTACTAGAATTATTATTTTTAGTTTTTAAAATTTATTTATTTTTTCATATTCATGATCTGCATGTTAGAGATTGCATATCTTTAAAAATCTAGTTCAAATATAAAAAATAGATTTATTAATAGGCCCATAGTTCTACGTATGCGGGCTTGGCCGTATTGAAACCTGGTCTTTTTTTCAAAAGCTACAATTTGACAATCTAGACCACTTGAATTTTATTCTATTACACTACTTTATGATGTGGCACAAATGCCCTATTCTACGGTTATATATTTTATAAGTTTTTTTTTCTTTTTAGTTATTAATAAAAAATCGGGTAAAGAGCCTTTTCCCCACTTAAAAATATCTGGTCCAAAGGAATTGAGAAATTCTTAACTACACATTGGGCAATGGAGTGTAGCATTTACCGCACTAAATCCGAGGCCAGGATCTCCAGTCGTAGGTGTTGACCTAAAACGTTATGATGTCCTAGGGTTGTGATGAGAAAATGGGTAGGAAAAAGCTAGGGTTTCTGGAGAGAGTTTTTCCCTTAGTCTGTTTCTCAAGCTTTTGATCTTTAAGCTCTCGTTAGATTGAGTTGGGAGGGGATATTGATATGTGAAGGTTTGGGGTTCAGGAGTTTGATCGACAGACCAGGAATCGCATGATTCCATCTCCAAATTGTAATTTATTGATCTAAACATATTATGGAAGTGATTTACCGAAAAAAAAAACATATTATGGAAGTTTTAAACACGTATCTTACAAATCAACATGTCGGCCATACATGACACATTTTATAGCGTGTCCGACACAAGGGATTCTTCTCTCGTGTCGGACAATGCGATTGGTGTACTAAGCCTAGAGATTCAATGATCAACGGCAAGTAGAACTCAAATCTATATTGAATCAAGGCTTACTACATGATTTTATCATGCTCTAACCTTGATTTTAGTGATTCACCGCGTTTTGGCGTATCCTCATCCAAACCAACGTTAAACATGTATTTATTATTATTATTATTATTATTATTATTATTATTATTATTATTATTATTATTGCAACATATGTCCATCCCTTAACTGCGACTTAATAATATAATATATAGAAAAAATCTAAAAAACGCTCATAGATGAATTGTTATAATGTTTCGCCCCACCACAGACATGCTATGTCCGGTTTATTGAACGGAGCCACAACGGACGGCGCATGGTCCGTAGTGGTTTCGCATGTTTTTTGACTGTCACGGACTTGCTATGTCCATGACGGTTTGACCGCTATGGACATGCTAGGTCCGTGGCGGTCTTTAATCCTTACCGTCCGAAAAAATCGGACGGCGTTGAGCCTATAGACGAAAACATTGTTGCGTAGTGGTTTTTTAATATATAATATAGAGATAAAACTACCGAGTGGCCTTCAAATTTATGTTCATAAGAATTTCCTTCATTAGGAGAAGTGTGGGAAGTTTCCTATTTTAATGTAAGGAGTTTAATTTGGCATTTATATTCAATTCCTCTTAGTTTCCCATCCCTCCTCTCTCTCTAGAAAGGTTATCTCTTCATATCAACATCTCTCGTTTCTTTAACTAGCCAAAAAAATCTCCCTTTCCTTATTTATTTATTTTTTACCAAGGTTACTTTATTAAAATCCGAAGGACACAAGAATGACCATAAAAGACAATTATTACATTGATAGTATCTCCCTTTCTATTCCCTATCACGTAAAACTATTCATACTTTATTTACTACACCTGTTATTCTTTTCTCCTTTTCACACGCATCTTTCATTCCTCATTTTTCACAAGTTTCATTCTCCAATTTGCCATCCTACATCACCTACTTTACCCACAATTTTGAACAAGTGAATGTCTTCAATGTTATGATACAAATATTAGGACTACCTCCCTCTTTGAATATGAGCATTAAAATAAGATCACGTGGTATTGTAGAAATGCGGCCTTGGCAATAAATATATTTTTTAAATATAATTTGATCTTAATTTTTGAAAGATATATAATCTTTAGCATGCAGATCATGAATATAATTTTTTTTTAAAAAAACTAAAAATAATAATTATATTAAAAAAAACATTCGAACCGTTAATTACAATTGTTTTTAGATGGACCACCTATTTGCATCCGTCTTTAAGATGTATGCTTTATACCTTTGTGCAGAAATGCGGTCCAGCCCGCATGAAACTATTTTTCTTAAAATAATTGACTAAACCTTCAAAAGAACATCATACTCTAAAAATAAAAAGGATATTAATGAAAAATTGACCCTAGCTTTTACTAGTTGGAAACCGATGAGGATTATGGTTACCCCAATCCTAAGAATTAAGAAGACTTCCACCCAAATTCACTTTTTTGTGATTGGCTTCAAACCCAAAGTTGAGAAATGGTAGTCCGTAGCGTGCGTCCCTCTCTCTCCCTCTTGTTAATACAAGTGCTTAAAAAATTACCTATTCGGATCGGATCGGGAATTAGATTTTGGATTAGGATAGGTGGAGGACCGACGGAGTTCCTTACACAATGGGAAATCAATCAGATTTAAAAGAATTTTCCCGATTCTATTAGAGAACCAAACGATTTTGTCAGGGAACTAGGGAATTTGTATTGACCCACTCGCTCGGTGTCCAATTTACTTCATTTAATATTTTTGTGAAGAATTTAAAATACAAGCATACTATTTTAAATATCCTTCAAATCGGGCCGATTCGGGTATAATAACTGGTCGGTGCACCCTGAAAATCGGGGTTTTAGAGCAATGGCTCAAAGTGTGAAGGGCAATAGGCCAACAATCATTCGTCACCATTCAAAAGCATTTACTCCTCTTACCACATTCTTGGAGCCGTCCTCAACCCACTGAAATATCATAGCGTCACGAAAAGAGTCCATTGAAATTCATAAACCTTTCCTTATGCGAAAGGTTCCCGAAATTTCGGGGAAGAACAAACCAGCAAGAAATCCAAAAATTGATGCCCCCACAATATTCATTGCTTTATGCCCCCATAATATTCATTGCTTTAAATGCGTATCACATTAAAAAGCAAAGACTTTACGGTAGAACTCTCTCACGCTCTCATCTCTCCTCTCTCTCTCTCTATTGTAGAACTTGCTCTCTCTCTCTCCCTCACTCATCTCTCCTCTCTCTTCTCCTTTTAGGGTTGAATTTACTCTCTCTCCTCTCTCCTCTATCCTCTCTCTAAGGTTGAATTTCCTTTCTCTCTCCTTTCTCTCAGGGTAGAACTTGCTCTCTCTCATCTCTCCTCACTTTGTAAGATAGAACTTGCTCTCTCTCTCCTCTCTCTAGGGTAGAACTTGCTCTCTCTCTTTCTCTAGGGTAGAACTTGCACTCTCTCTCTCTCTCGCTTAAATGATATGCTTTAAATAGATAGACCCATATCCATTTGTTGTGTGAACAAAACAAAGAAGGTGAAGTTTGAGATGGGGAATCGCCTCCCTCGCCCTCAACCAGCCGTGAAGCTGATGCCTGTAGACACTCCATTTAAATTGCCTTCCACTCTTCCATCTTGGCCACCAGGTACCTCTCTCTCTCTCGACATAAATAGACATGCATCAATATGCATGGAATGCTTCTTAAAGGCCGGGTTAGTTAATGGGTGCTAATCAAACACGACTCCATATAAATGCAGCTCTAGTGCCGGAGACCCTGCGATAGCTTGAAAATCTATTTTTTCTGTGATTATAAGATTTGTAGCTTCAAATGTGGTGCCGATCATATAGATCCATAAATACTTAAAAATAGACGGTCTAGATAACTTGCTTAAGAGATATGTTGTTTTTATAATTTTTTTTTTTTTTTTCATATCCATAATTATTGAGGTCCAGATGATCAATTTGATTCTTTTCAATACTAGAACTGCATTTCCCGGCAAGGTATTTAAGTCTTGATCGGCTTTTTAATGTAAATCTAAGGCTTTTATGTAGAAATCTTCTCTTTTTTGTTTCATTTTTTAAAACACTCATTGAATTATGTTCACCTACCATTGTTTTCCCTCCTTCAAGTCTAGTACATGGACCTTCAAATGTAAGAGTTATTTGCTTCTGGATAAAGCACTCTCAAGGAAAAAAAAAAGGAAAATGGTAGGGAAAAAAATTGAGGAATGAATGAAAAAAAGAAAAGGAAATTACGGGAAAAAACTTTTCTAAAAACTATTATCTAATCTTTTAAAAGATTTAGATAAGATTAACCTTCTTTCAAGCTTAGGATGTTCTATATAGAAGGCATTATGCCATTTTTTGCAACGTTAAATACTCTAGGACGATATCAGTAAGGCAACGTAAAACCCGTTATGTTAAGAAAAGAACCTCTCAATAGATAACGCAGTTAGATACCGTTACAGGTGGAACTAAAGCTGTTAGATCGGCCAAACTATTGGCGTGATGTTGAAGCGGGATTTGTACCATCAATGGGTTTGTGTGATTGAGATTTAGAGAGAGAGAGAGAGGGGCCCGGGGATGAATATTTGGGTCATACTCCAACGGGAGTATAGTGTTCATTTACTCCCTCGGGTAAAGCCCCGAATTTTGGGATATAAACTTTCAACCCGTTGACTAACCTTGATAAAAAAAAAAAAGGAAATTTTTTTTTAAAAAAAAATTACACTCTTTATGCACTTGAAAAAATAATGTTCAATATTGTCCAATTTTTTAAGGGTAACGTCTAACTGTCCAATTTTTTCTTTTGAAAATAATAATGGAGTGATTCTTCCCAAACTTCTAGATTAAAAAAAAGAATCCCAAGTACATCATCTGATGAGGGAGTAACTGTACAATATGCTACCACAGGAGCATAGTACATGCGCTTATGAGAGGAAGCATTGCGTTTACTAGATAATGCGCGCGCAGTCTAGTTTATGGTAATTTTCAAAATTTCAGTCAGAAATAATTACTTTATTTTTAAATAATTCAGCCCATAATAAGTTATTTGGATTTTTAAATAATTGGATTTCTAGCTATTTTTAAGAATTCTTTAAACATCAAACATCAAATATAAGTTATTTTTTTATTTTCAAATTATGAGTACTTATCGTTTTAAAAATAATTCATGCCTGTTTAAAAATAAGAGATTTCGAAATGAAAGGAAATGATTTTGTGATAATTTTAATTTCCATATTTATTTATTTTAACTAATTCATGCCATAATAAAACAATTGGATTCTTCAACTATTATTAAAAATATTCTTATTTATGACGTCTATCTATAACAATTTTCACATTACTTTTTAAATTATGAATACTCAATGTTTTGAAAATAATTAGTCTGAATTTGAAATAAGAGGTCTGAATTTAGTAAGACATGAAATGAAAACCTATTTTCCTATACTTTTGATATAGGAACAGATGGCCAATTTTTTTATTTTTTATTTTTTTTAAAAAAAAAGAAGGGCAAAAAAAAAAATGCGGTCTAATGTTTCAACGGACATGTAATTATAAGATTTAAATATAGTACAGCTGTAAATTTTCCTTTTAAAAGACTGTATAGATCTAAGGCCATGCATTTTTGTTAGAAATAAACATGTTTTCCCTGACGGTCTCTTCACACTATTCACGAACTGGGTAAAGAGCTAATCAACCTTGGAGGAGGACCTTGTCAAGTGTGGTAGTTAGGAAAGGCCAAAAGTCCCAAAACAATAACCCCAAAGCAACCTTATCTTTCAAAGCAGTTGTTTGTTTCACACACTTTGGGCAGGAAAATGTGCCTTTATTTCATAAAATACTCACTCTTTTCTAAAACCAACCAATGTTAGAGATCTTTATCTGAAAATTCGTTTCAAAAATAGCTCCTCACCTCATCTGAAGCTTCTGTCGGACGTTTGTATGTTTGTGTGAGTGCATCTGCATGGTAGTTTTTTTTTCTCACTTTCCGTCCGGTGTTTGACTACTCGGGTGAGCCAACCCGGACTCGCTCAAGTAATTCGGGTTCACCACCTTGGTGGTCCCAAGTATCCCAAGTTTTGCTGTCAAGGTCGGAATCTTAAAAAGAGAATTTAAGAAAGAAACAACTAAATATTTTAAAAAATAAGAAAGTTATTTGTAGTATGTCCTTTGTATTTTGTACCATTTTTGACAAAGATTGACAAGTATTTTAGCCATGAGTGCTTGCTTTCCCTTCTTTTTAGTTTATTTCTAAAGTATCTCCACTCACAAATTGATTTTTTCAAAATCTATTTTTTCACTACTTTTGAAACCTCATTTAGATGTATTTTGTTTAAGTTTACTTTAAACACATTTTCACATCTTTGTTGGAAATTTTTTGTATTTTTTTAACACTCTTTGGCCTGGCCATGATGTACCCGACTCGAGCCGAGTCCGGGTCATGCTTTCCTATACTTCCTTCATCTCAACTTGTACGTTTATGAGTGTGAAAAAATGTGCTTGGTAGTTTTATTCTCCCTTATTTTTATGTAAATTTGTCCTCAGGCTCAGGATTTGGAACTGGGACCATCGCATTAGGAGGCTTAGAGCTACGGCAAGTGTCAACTTTTTCGAAGGTGTGGGCATCCCATGAGGGAGGCCCCAATAACACAGGGGCCACATTTTTCACGCCTTCTTCCATTCCATCTGGTTTTTATGCCTTAGGAGCCTACAGCCAACCCAATAACCAACCACTCTTTGGGTGGGTCCTAGTCGCGAAGGATAACGATGGTTCTATCCTCGCGAAACCTCTCAATTTTTCTCTCATTTCTAAAAGGGTCCAAGACAACAATTCTGCTTATTTCTGGCGTCCTGTACCACCCGAGGGCTACAAAGCCATCGGTCACTTAGTCACCAACACTGCAGACAAACCCTCTACCGATAGTATGAGATGCGTACGTACAGACCTTACAGATGTGTGTGAAACTGATAGCTTGGTGTGGAGCACACGAAAGGCCTTACAGATGTGTGTGAAACTGATAGCTTGGTGTGGAGCACACGAAAGGCCGCCAATAACAATGGGCTCAGTGTCTATAGTTTAAGGCCTAAAGAAAGAGGGAGCAATGCTTTAGGGATATGTGTTGGCACATTCGTTGCGACTGTTGCGAGTACCCCAGATGCTGATGTTGCTTCTTTAGCTTGTTTGAAGAATAAGGGCTATGTGCTAGACTCCATGCCAAACCATGCCCAAATTGAGTCGCTACTGAAGGCCTACTCCCCATTCATGTTCTTCCATCCTGATGAAATGTACCTCCCTTCTAGTGTCCCTTGGCTCTTCACAAATGGAGCCCTTTTATACAAGAAAGGTGACCCAAACCCTATCCAGATTGATCCGAATGGATCCAACCTTCCCCAAGACGGTTCCAATGATGGCTCTTATTGGATAGACCTTCCGACCAATAACGATGCTGCAGATAAGGTCAAGAGGGGGGATTTAGGGAGTGCAGAGTCATACTTGCATGTGAAGCCTATGCTGGGGGCAACGTTCACCGACATTGCGATATGGGTGGTCTACCCATTCAATGGCCCGGTAAAGTTAAAGGTGCAACTGATAAATGTTCCACTGGGGAAGATAGGGGAGCATGTAGGGTATTGGGAGCATCTGACCCTGAGGATAAGTAATTTTACTGGTGAATTGTGGAGAGTTTACTATGCTGAGCACAGTGGGGGTCAGTGGATGAATGCTTCAGAACTGGAGTTTCAACAAGGAAACAAGGCCACGGTCTACTCATCCTTGCATGGACATGCCTCATATTCTAAGGCAGGGCTTGTCCTACAAGGCAATACCAAATTAGACATAGGAATAAGGAATGACAGTGCTAAGAGCAAGTTTGTAATGGATACAGGCGCGAAATTCACCATTATCGCAGCCGAATACCTCGATTCGATCGCACAACCTCCCTGGTTGAACTATACCAGAGAATGGGGACCCAAAGTTAGCTTTGACACAACAAATGAGCTAAAGAAAGTGGAGAAATTTCTTCTTAAAAAATTGAGAAATGCAGTGGAAGACATAGTTAGAAGTCTACCCAAAGAGGTGCTAGGAGAGGAAGGTCCTACTGGTCCTAAAATGAAGAACAACTGGACAACTGATGAAGTTTGAACTGTGACACAAATCAATTTCCATCCTCCAATTTGACAATTTGTAATTTATGAGAAATTAGTACTCCTAGTTAGGTGCAGTGTCCATATGGTCCCTGTTTTTGACAATCACATTAAATGGTCCCTTGATAAGGTCACATAAGCAGCATGTGGCCTACTTCTTGTGTATCTTCTCCATATATCATCTAAAGATCATTAAAAGAAAGGATATCACTCTTTTTTTTTCTTTTGGTAATTAGGATATCACTGCCTCTATACCTTTGGATCACCAATTCACCCTATTTTTACTGTAACTTCAGTAAATCTAAATCATGTAGGATTCTTCCCAAATAGATTGAATCACCATTTCTTGTCTCGCCCGAGTTGACTCCAAGTCGAGCGAGTTATGCGGACTCGCCCAAGGGGAAATAACGAGTACGCCCACTTTCATTCAAATAACACACAAATGACATGTTGGCTAGCATGTACACTAGTGTGCCAATTAAGCCTTGTTGTTTATATATATATATATATATATATATATATATATATA